GGGGCACTGGCCTAAAGCTGTGTAAGGGGCCCCAAAATTTCTGATGGCTGCCCTGGGTATTATATAGAATACAAATATGGACTAATCCTAAAACAATATTATAGAAAACAATTCTAAATGAAAAGGCTGAGTACAACATACCCAGTGGTGATGACAATCTAATCTTTAATTAACAAAACCATGAGATATGATTCCCCAGTAATGTAATTTGATGGAGGGTAGTTAAAAGGTCTTCTCAGGATTATGATCAATAGAGAGATCCGTGGTTGGCTGGTGGTCAGTCATTTATTTAGATAAACAATCTCTAGGACACAGTTTATATAAGATCATGACGAGCACTAGTAATATATAGGTGATGGACGGGGACACATAGATATGAGGCATGTTACAAAAATGGAGTCAACACTAATTATAATTTGTACATATTGGCGGGTTTTATTGGCTTTTAATATGTTATGTAAATTATGTACTTATATAATATGAAATGCTGTGATTTGGGTACTTTAAAAGTCCTTCTTTATCTTTTATGGTCATATATTTGATTTAATGGGACATGGTACACTATAGGCCAACCTAATCTTTTGGTAAATAAATGTGTGGCAGAGTACTTAAACGTGAAAAAAAGGCCATTTGTTATGGACATTTTTACAAGCACAGGTTCCTTATTTTTGTGGCACAATAAGATGCTGAAATCGGTCTTTAACTGACAGGTTACATGTTCTCTCTTGTATTTTGTATTTGTGGTCACAGTTAGGACACAGTGTTGCTAAATAACCACATTTTTACATTATGGCAAAAGCAATTAATTAATTAGTGGTTACAAGACTAGATAGTTTCCACAATATAAGAATCAATGGCATATGCAAAGCTAGCTGCCTTCATGGCTATCACATATCACTGTATCACATATACTAAAGATCTTGTGTAGGACCATTTTTCTGGGATCGTTCTTTCATGATATGGGTTCTCACCATATAATTAGTCATATTTATAAGAGCACATAAAAAGCAAAGACTAATGCAAATTGTCATGACCCATAGCAAAAAGTATATCTAACGGCAGAACTGTTTCTTTTGGATAGAGTAGTTAGGGGTTAGAACCATGGTCAGGTATAAAAGAAAGCTCATCGGATCTACAATATTACACTCAGATGGATCTCTCCCAGATCTCTCCTGTCTCTATTTTTCTCTCTCCTCCCCTGGAGGAATCCTCCCTCCAGCAATGGCAAACTGTAGTCTAGTTCTAATGGTATTTTTCTACAGCATATACTTTTTCATGGTACACTATTGGTGCAATCTATTTCTGACTGTAGATGCATGCACTTTTAGAACCAACTATTGTAAGACTTACCTTAAGATCTCATGAAGAGCTTTCGAGGTTCTGGGAGACTTTTTAAGCCTACTACTTTTATTAGTCATACACCCTATTCTGCACCACCTAATGCTCTGGGGCATCCATATTCTTCAAGCCACGGAACAGGCCTTTCCCTAGGAAGAACTGCAAAACAGCTGGTTATAAACCACTACTCTACCCCACCTAATGCAAAAACTGATATGGTCAGTTTTTGGTAGATGCTGAAGACTTAAATTAAATCCTGTTAAATGATATTTAGGGGGTTATTCACTAAGCTGTCGAAGGATCTAGCCGTAGCTTCGGCTGATCCTTCGGCTAGCTTCGGCCCCAGGACCCCTTTGGTTCAGTAGAACTGAAAGGCTGCTGTACGGGCTATTCACTATAGCCCGTACAGCTCCCGAAGTTGGCCAAGGGGCTCAGTCAAGCCGAAGGCATATGGTTCAGCTCGACTGAGCCTAGGTGAAAGTCAAAGCTGGCCGAACGGCCGGCCATTGGCTTCTTTCTCCCGGAAAGGTTTACTCTGCTCGATCGAGCAGAGTAAACCTTTCCCTGCTCTGTAGTTGTTTTTTTTCTTCTGACATCGGAGACACCAGCCGCTGTCATTCAGAAAAAAAAAAACAGCATAGGAATGCATTGCTACACTCCTACTGGCAATTTCAATTTGCAATAGCCAATAGCAAACTAGCTGTTGCACCCGCCCACTGCTGCTGTCAATCAGCAGAGGGAACCTGAAGCTCTCCATCAGGTCCCCTTCTAGTGATTGACAGCAGCAGAGGGCGGGTGCAATAGCCAGCTTGCTATTGGATATTGCAAATTGAAATAGCCAATAGGAATCTAGCTATGCATTCCTATGCTGATTGTTTTTTTTTTTATTCTGACGGCAGCAGAACCGCCGGGTTCTCAATGTAATGACTGATCAGCGTCCCTGGTTACCAGGTAACCAGGGACGCTGTTCTATCATTGGGATGAGAGCCTAGCAGAGCCGGCTTTGACAAGCTCTCATTGTAATGGCAGCTGGTCCCTGCCAATAGAAAACAGTTGGGCGGAGCTAGCTGTCACTGCTGGCTCTGCCCAATCATTTTCTATTTTTCTATTTCTACTTTTTCAACTGTTTTTCTATTCTGCTCGGTACCACAGAAGGTACCGAGCAGAATAGCCGAGTCGAATGCCGCTCGACGGAATTTGGCTATTCCCTCACTGCTGTTCGGCATCTATGAGAATAGGCCGAACAGCAGCGAGTAGCCTGCCGGAGGTTCGGCTCAGCCAATCCAGATGTTGGATCTGCTGAGTCGAACTCCTTCTGCACTTCGGGTCGGCCCAACATGCTGAGCATGTTGGGCTGACCCGAAGCCAGCCGCAGCAAGCCGATGTACGGCTGATTTTAGTAGGTGTACGGCTGAAATCAGCCGTACAAGCCTGAAGTGAATAGCCGAACAGCTCACTTCACTTCGGGTCGGTTATTCACTCGGTTATTCATTCTGGTATCTCTTGGGAAACTCTGTTGTTGAGATTTTCAGGACAGGAGTTTCTGTGTCTGCACACCTATTGTGGCATTTATAATGGGGCTCTATTCTCTATATTGGACCATTCATTTTTATATAAAAAAATATTCTAAATATTCCCAAATATTCTAAATGAGGTTAAGGTTTAGACTATGTGGTGGCAAAATCCATGTGTGAAATTGATGTCCCATGCTCCCTGAACCACTGTTTCACAATTTGAGCCCAATAAATCTTGGTACTGTTATGTTGGAATATGCCATGCCACTGGGGTCATTCAGTATATTCAAGGAAGGGAGCTGGCCTAATTTTTTGGGTACATAACGTTGCTGAACCTAGACCTGACCAACTGAAGCAACCCCAGATAATAACACTTATCCAATGGAAGGCTCCTACCTATTTGCTTAGCTAAATCCAGGTGGTGACTGTTTTTTGGTCAGGCAGTGTATTATGCAAAATGTAGCAGCTATTGCTGGAATATTCAAAGCCTGATGGAACACACAAAAGTCCTAGGTGAACAGGTACATGATTGGGAATTATGGCAGAGAGGTCTTACTTTTACGCTATCCAAGACATATAAGATGCTAGGAGATTACACTGCCAAACCAGGTTGCGCATATAACCTAAATAATAGTTTTAGATGGACTGAGCATTTAATAAAGACCTGTACAGGGTCTTCAAGTGTATTGTTTTCTGTTTAGCTTTTAAAATCATTGTCCATATTTTTACTCTGGTTGCTTGGTATTCCACTTTAATTTGCTTTTGTATTTCTACTGTTAAGTTTGATTCAAGGATGGTGGTTTGTGATGAAAATGACCAGATGTTTCCTGTGTCACAACTCTGCAGCCTTTTAGTGGGTGTTCTGTGCACTGGTCCATCCAAATGATGATTATAAATACAGATGAGGAAACCACCTCCACATTGACATAGGCCAACAAGGTGAGTAATGCTTAGCTTCTCCTTATCACTAATCATAACTAATCTTGACTTGATGGGATAATGTGTTTTCTCTTTTGTTGGTTCTTATAGAATGCCTTCTCTATGCTCCAGTATTTGGATACTGCTGCTTTCTGGAATAATAACTACAAGTAGATCATCATATTATGGTAAAATATGTTATCTTTTTGCTACCCACTAGGGTACTATATGTCTGCAAACTAACTTGTCAGACTTTTTTAAATGTATCCACGTGTTACCAAATAAATAGCCAACTTAAAAAAAATATATATGAAAAAAATAGAATTAAAAAAAAAAAACAAAGAAGTATGTTGCTATATATATATCTATATCATAGAAATTAATATGCTTAAAGTCACATTTTTTTCTTCGTATGTGTTAAGAAAGGCTTTGATTAGATTATATATCCCCAGGTCTCCCTTCCCCCACCTAACAATTCTGGTTTTGAGGTGAGGTGAAGGATACTGGTATTCACTTCAAACATTCTATGTGATAAAAAAAAAGACTTCCTGGATAAAGTGAACCTAAACTCAGGAGTTGAATGTTAAAAATACATTCAAGTACCTTAACTATTAACAAATAATGTACCTTATATTTGTATCACTCGGCTGTAGATCATCAAATCATCTCTGAATTGGTGCTGACACTGTCCTTCCTTCTGGAGGCTGGCTACCTTTGTTCCCCATGGTCCCTGTGTGTGTTAAAAAGTCACCATTGCTCCATGTTCACTCCTGTGATAGACTACAATCTCACGTTTAGTTTACTACTTTGTATTGAGATTGTTGTCCATCACAGTAGTGAGCTTGGAGTGGTGGCTACTTTACAACACACACAGGGGCCATGGGGAACAAAAATAGCCATCCTCCAGAAGGAAAGGCAGTGTCAGCATGAAATCAGAAATAATTTGAGGATCTACAGTCATACAAAAATGAGATACATTTTTGTTGAGAGTTAAGTTATTTGAATGCATTTTTATGATGTAACTCTATTGCATTGTCCAATGAGCGTGCCTCAAGATCCAGAAAGATTACGCTCATCATTACACAAGGGGATGGAAGTTGATGGACCTTAGCCATGAAGAAAAGCCCCAGTATCAGGGCTGGTGCCGACCGCTCGGTCGTGTGCAGTTGCACACAGCGTTTGCCGCGCAGCCCCATTGATTTCAATGGGGCTATATCCTCCCAGCAATCGAAGAAAAAAGGTACATATACCTTTTTTGCGACACACGATACGCGGCTGTTTTAGTGTTCGATTGCACTGGTGGAATCCTGGCCGGAAATCGCGCGATCCGGCTAGTGCAACTGGGGTGCCATTAAAAAATCTGGTTCGGCGGTTTACTTTTAAGAAGGACAGTTATTTTTAAAACATTAATTGAAATGGTACAGGATCACTTTATCTTAGGTTAGATTAAGTCTTAAAGGTTATTTAAATGTTAAAGGTTGTTTAAATGTTAAAAAAAAAAAGTATATTTAAAAAATAGCATGGATGGGGAAATCTATGGAAATCTATCTGTATTGCTAGTGCATTGCTAGTTATTAAGTATTAGGGGTATGTGAGGGATAGGATGAAGCGTCAGTGTGAGATTAACATTTAGAGATAGATTATACATTAGTACATGAGTGCTCACAAGGAAATTCATATTAGTTGGTGGTGCTGAAAGCCCACACCAGAATTTACTGTGTCAGGTTTACTGTGCCAAAAGTATCAGTTTAAAAAGAACATAGGTGTACCTGATCGCACTGCACTTCAAGTTATACTTTGGTAAATTAGGTATAAATTGACTTCAGATTAATTCACTTCACAGCATGCTTTATCTTATCAGTCCCTCAGATGTTACACAGGATTTACAGCCAATTGCCCTTATTCATCAAGCTGCAATATCTTTTAAGATGTACTAAATTGCATTTAAAGTATGCTAAAGTTACATATAATAGTATTGTATGATAGACCAATTTAGCATGTATTGAGTGCCCTAAATGCTAGATAAATCAGGTCCACTCTGTCTGAACAGCGTCACCTCCGGTTTATATAAATCAGTACTCCTCACCTATAGATTTAGCTTATCTCCTCTGCTCATACCCTCTGTTTCTCAAATTCAGTCCACGGGTAACTTCCGCAGGTCAGATTTTCAGGTTTTCCTTTGTCATCCACAGGTTAAGTAATCAATACCACTGACTGTGTAATTACCACAACTATTGCACTTGAAGCATATCCTAATAACAAGACCCGTTGGGGACAACTGAGGACTGGAATTGAGAAACACTGTTCTATAGTTCAAATATTTTATCTAAGAGTCTCTATTACAATACTTTCCAATCTCTTTTTTTCCAACTGTTCCTCCAAGTGCAGTAAATGACAATTATTAGACATGTAACTGAAATATGGAAAGATGTCCCTCTAAAACACAGTGATAAATAAAAGTTAATTTTTAATTGAGATAAAGAAAATTTAAGATGCTGGATCAAAGATCCAATATTTAAAAATAATCAGCTGAGTAAATTTGCTCCCTTACATCAAACAACAGCAGGCCTACCTGAGATATTGTTATATGTCAATTCCCCACCCTTAAATAGTAATTGATGTAAGCCTTCTAACAAAGCCTTGCCACATTATGCCTTTTTCAATATGTGGTTACTTCTTTTAAGGTTAATGTATGTTGTTTTTTGTAGATGGAGTTGAAGAATTGGACAATGATCTTATTGTTACTTGTGCAAAAGAAGCCAAACTCCTGGTGGACACAGCATATAAAACCACGCGCTTCATGTAAGAATTATTATACTTATTTTGATAAATAGAACTCAACCTGGCAATTCCCTAACCACTTAGGAAATAAAATTCTGCCAGTGTGTCACATGGCCTATTACCAGCAGGACTCGCAAGGTAATTGCACCAGTTCCTTGTAAATAAATAAAGTAATTAACAATGACAGCATGGTAACTGGACCAGGGAAATCCCCCATGATTGTTCGTCTGGTTATCCCTATAATGATTCATTTGTGGGGATCATTTACTATGTTGATTCTGTACTGGGATTCTTTCCGTAGCACTCATAATGTAGAGACTGAGGGAGAGTCAACCTTTGACATGGGACAGGTAAGTTAAATATAATCCTCTAGTTCCAACATCACCTTCCTTGGTGACATCAGTCTTGTATAAGATCCTAGTTCCTGTCAGTACTGGATTTGTGTTTTAATAGTGGATACTTTCTGATAAAAATAAAATACATATGATTAGTGGTTTATTGGATTTTATGGACAAATCTCTGTGGATTGGCTTTATTGTGGTTGTATCTCAACCTTGGCAAATCAGTTTTCACATCTTTAATATAAGTTCCCTTAAAAGAGAACTATGGGGTAAGTGTTTTTCCCCATAGTTCTCTTAAGGGTCACGGGAGGACATATACTAGCGTCCTCCTGTGACCTAAAGCTCAGTACATCGCGAGCGGTATACTGAGACCGCCGCAGCTGGGACGGATCCCGACATTACTGTCGAGATCCACCCAGTTGCGTGAGTGACAGCTGGCTCTGACTATTTAGAGAAAGAGCCAGCTGTACCCGCCCCCTCCCCCGTCCGTTCCGCCAGTTAGCGCTAGAGGATCGGATTGGGGGGGGGGGAATCCCTGCAGGGAGCCGTGAATGACAGTCACGGCTCTCTGCAGGGACATGATCGAGAAGTGAGCGAGCGACGGTATGTGTTCGCTCACTTCCCGATCTAATAAGCCGACGTGTGACAGTTTCATTGTCACACGTCGGCTCAATCTATGAGGATCAGTGATTTTCAATCACCCCATAGTTCTCCTTTAACCAACCCTTTCTGTGTTTCCTTGTCATGGTGACACCTACACTATTCCATATTTTTTCCCTGGTGTCACCGGGCCTGGAAACTAAGGTAAATCTCCCCAGCAATAAATAAGCCTAAAATGTATGGGGAACCTTTCTCCTATTACATTACATTACAATTGTAAGGATGCCCTTTTCAGATTGTGTAATATGTATAAGTAGTTGAGCTTGATTGAGGAGGCATGCCAAAGCCAATAAAGATGGTACTTTTTAGGCCAATGTCAAGGACAGCATTTGTGTATTATTACTTTTGATCTTTGCATGGCCTTGCCCCCTCTAGAGGCAGAAGGATAAACATAATAATATTTCTGGGACAGAGGAACACTTAAGAGACTTTGTAACATGCAGCATCCCCTATTTTTCTGCGGACTGTAGAAAGGTAGGGAATAGTAGCTCTACATGTAATGATAACAAGTAATATGTTTGGTGACAACATGGTTAAAGCCTATTTGAAAGGGTGCCAAATATAGGTGAGTTTAGGGCACAATGGGGGGAATAGATCAAAACTGGAACAGACAGAATCTGGTGAAGTTGCCCATAAAAAACCAGCTTCTCTCTTCAGTTTGTTCAGTTAAAATTTGCAAATAAAAGAGAAAAGCTGATTGGAGGCCATAAACAACTGCTCTAGATTCTGTCTGCTCCAGTTTTGATAAATTCCCCCCAATGTTTCTAAATACGGTCAGGCCAGATAACAAAAACATGACCAAACAGCACAATTTAAAGTTAGTTCTGCGCTATGATTTACAACAACGATTTTCAATTACTTGCACTGTGCAATAACAGCAAACGATATTATTTATGTCTGTTTCTCAGATTAAAAGAACGCTTGAGAAAGAAGGATGTAGGTGCTCGGGACCTGATGGCCTACTTCAAGCAGCCTGTTGCAGGGAGCAGGAACTATATTCGTGCAGCCGATTACATGGGTACAACTCTGCAACTCTTGGCGGAAAAAGTCAAATATTTTAGCGACAGACCCTTCAATATCTCAGGTACATAAATAGTTCATAATAAGGGTTAAAATATACGTTCAACCTAAATAGGTTTGTAGTGAGTGGGGATGTTTTCAATGCCTGTTGGAGCTCTGTTGGAAAGCTGCCAGCATCCTAACAACCCGTTATGCATCGCACAGTGGCGTAGTGATTAGTACTTGTGCCTTGCAGCCCTGGGGGTAGGGTTGCCACCTGTCCAGGATTCACCCGGACAGTTCGGGTTTTGAATGCTGTGTTCGGGTTTCAAGGCAGCAGAAACCCGGACACCAGATGTCAGGCAGACAGGGGCAACCAAAATTAAGATAGGGGCTACTGGTCCCCCACTGAAAATAGCCTCAACTGTGATATTTACATATGAATGGACGGCGCTATTTGTATATGAATAAGCCGTGACTCATTCTCCCAAAAAAACGTCCGCTCGTTGGCAGAGTGTTCGCGTTTGGCTTGAAGAAAAGGTGGCAACCCTACCTGGGGGTCCCTGGTTCAAATCCCAGTCAAGACACTATCTTCAAGGAGTTTGCATATGCTCCCTGTCCTTGCGTGGGTTTCCTACTACACGCACAGTGCAGGATCCTTTAAAGGTCTTTACCACCAGAAAAGACGTGCTAGGCCTCTATTGAATTTTCCTCCATTATTTGTTATTATTGGAGATGTGCATTCAGATTCAGACAAACTTACTGAATCAGGAAATTCCGTTGATTCAACCGTTCATCCGAATCCAAAATAAGTAATTATTATATGCCTGCATATACGAAAAACTATATTTGGGCATAGAGCAATTCTTTCTGTATGGGTACCACCATCTTGCTGTGTCCAAGATGGGGACACCCATACAGGCATATAACGTCACTTGACGCCGGTGTGATGTGATGTCATGCGCCCCACCTCCAAGATGGCGGTACGCATGCGCAGATCGCTCTGGGGCCAATATGGCCGCCACGCCTTCTGTTTTTTTAATGTGTCCTTTTGTATTCAGAGGTTTGTTGCCTCCAAATCTGAAACAGCATAATAATTGGTGTCATCAAATGAAACGAATGAAAAGGTTTTTAACACATTTTTAACAAATGATTATACCATGCACATGTCTAGTTATTATTATCTTTTTACAAGAATCAATATTTTACATTGTTCCCAATTATGCTGTGATTTAAGATCCAACATATTACAAGATAAAATAATATCACCACCTAGAAAAGTGTACCATACAATGCCAATGATGCAGCTGGAATCACTGCATCCAATTTCAATATGTGATAGATAATTATTGTCCTTTAGCGCCGTTCACACCAGGGCAGTTTAGTTGTACGGATTTCTCTGCACTAAAACCCATGCAAATAAAATTACATACATTCCTATGGGGCCGTTCACGCAAATGCGTGGAATCGCACGTACAAATATGCCTGTTGCTAGAAATAGTCCGTAAACTTTTTTTGTTGCGCTGATCAGCTCGTTTTGCTCCATAAACTTCAATGGAAATGCGCTGATTAGCGCATTTTTGTGTGATTCCGCACGTTTTTTATGCGCGTTTCAGCAGCTGAGTCTGCATCTCACTGGATAACTGAAAACGAGCTTTAAAAGCACACTGACATATGAATAGCAAATGCCTGGAATACGTGCTGAAACGCACATAAAAAGATTAAAAAAAACACACAAAAACAACCTGAAACGCTGTTGCCCTGGTGTTAATGGGGCCTAAGTTTGGCACTAAGCAGAGGGATACTGTTTGCTGGGCATATATGATGCATACATGTATAGTATGATATTATGTTATCTTCTCTACATAACGTAATTAGGCTTCTTTCCTGGTTTTCAATTTATATTCAAAATCTTTTTTTCTTTAGATATATTAACAGAGAACCAGTTGAATGCGATTTCTAAGATTTCAGGCTGTGAAGCTCAGTACCGCCCCATGGTTTGTCAGGACAGCCCCTATCGCACCATTACTGGGTCATGTAATAACAGGTGAGAGAAAAAGAGCCAATGTTTAAGAAATAATTTATTATGGGGGTTATTCACAAAGCTGCTGAAGGATCTAGCCGTAGCTTCGGCCGATCCTTCGGCTAGCTTCGCCCCTGGACCCCTTCAGTTCAGTAGAACCGAAGGGCTGCTGTACGGGCTATTCACTATAGCCCGTACAGCTCCCGAAGTTGGGCGAGTGGCTCAGTCGAGCCGAAGGCATATGCTTTGGCTCGACTGCGCCCAGGTGAAATTCGAAGCTAGCCGAACGGGTGACTTTACTCTACTACTTATTAGATCTAGGTGTACTGAGTTGGATTGGGTAAATTGTCTTTTTTGCATCTTCAGATTTCCCATCTGTGCTCGAAACAGTGGCTACCACAATACACATGAAGGGGGTAATCTCCCCAGCTGAGACACAGCATAAAACCTTACAGGAGTTTTTATACTTTCTTACTCTGTTCAAAACAGAAAAAAAACTTTACATATATTTTAATGGAGAAGGAGATGCAGTTTGGAGCATGGGCAGAATTTAAAGCCCAGCCCTAGCTTGGGCTACACATGCTTTACTCCCCTAATCTCTAGAGCTGCCACCACTCAATTACTAATCCTACATCATTCAACCCACTTCCTATGAGCCCAGCGTGTCAAGTGATGTCACCAGACCAAAGACACCTGGAAAAAAGTGTGATTTTTTTGTAAAGAGTGCAAAGGGTGCTCCAAATGGGGGCAAGGGACAAAGAGGAGATCCCAAGCTCGGAGCTGGGCCTAACTATTACTCCCCAAAAAGACCCTAAAGCTGCAACGTGCAGTAAAAGTGTATTCAGTATAGTGAAGTGAAGTGCAGCAATCCATTGCAGAATTTCAGAATTAAACATTTCAGCCTTGTGACTTTAGTAAACTTGAATCTAATTTTTGCAATGGGTTAAGCTAACCACACACTGCCCGATTTATGGCAAATTCACAATCAAGTGATTTTCTTTTGTTGAGTAACAGATTCTAACAGTGTGTGGCTAGCTTTACTGTTGGCACTGCCTGATTCAGTGAGTCATAATTGCCTTCTTCTAAACAGGGTCAAGGTAGCAATTGTTCAACCGTATTCTATTCAAAAATGGATTTCCTTTTATTATTATTGTTATTATTAATAATGAGAGCTGATAACATGTACTTGTTAAACTAAACTTAAGTTGTATCTATATTTTCAGGAGAAATCCCAGTCTTGGTGCTTCCAACACTGGCTTTCTGCGTTTAATACCTCCTGAGTATGAGGATGGCCTTTCCCTTCCCCGTGGCTGGACTGATAACCGTCCAATCAATGGATTCCGTTTGCCTTTGGTAAGATAATTATGAATGGTAAAATGTATCTTGCGTAACATAAAAATGAATGATAGATTTATAAATTTAAAATGTTCATAACTATGAAACAGTGCGTCCGATTATAAAAATCACTGCAACAAAAGTGAAGTGGTTGTCCACAGCAAGTCATCAGACTTCAATTTTTAAAATGAGGCAAAGAATCTAACAGGGTTATTCACTAAGCTGCCGAGTGAATAACTGAGACGAACGCTGTTTGGCTATTCACTTTTGCCTTGTACGGCTGATTTCAGTCGTACATTGGCCAAAATCAGCCGTACATTGGCTGCCTTCGGTCAGCCAAACATGAGCTGTAGTGCATCTGGATCGGCTGAGCTGAAGCTCTGGCAGCTCACTCGCTGCCGTTCGCCCCTATTCTCATAGGGGCTGAGCGGCAGTGAGTGAATAGCCAATAGTGGCATTCGGCTCGGCTATTCTGCTTGGTACCTCCGTGCAAAATCTGTGAAAATATTGTTTTTTTAATGTTAAAAAAATTTAAATTGCAAAATGATTTTAAAACTGTTAAAAAAATAGGAAGATTTAAAAAAATATATATATATATATATATTTAAAGACATTTAAAAAAAAAAGAAACAATTGGGCGGAGCTAGCGGTGATAGCTAGCTCCACCCAAATGTTTCCTATTGGCCGACACCTGCTAGAGTCGTCTAGCCAGCCGTGACATCATAGCCGCCTCCACCCAGTTGTTATTGTTTAATGACAGATTAGCGTCCCCATGTCCAAGGTGATAACTGATATTTGGTGTTTACCAGGACCGCCGGGACCATCCTCTCTTGCTGGTGCATCAGTCGCGTAACAATCGCCATAACGACCCAGGCGTCCGCTATGGGGCCCAGGGCACAGGGGGCCCGACCCGGACATCCCCTTGATGCCGTGCGGGCCACCTGGGTTGCTATGGCATCTCTGGCTGTTGGCGGTCACTGGCGGGTGTGAGGAGGAATGTGTCGCTGTTAGATCACTGACAACCTGTCAGTGATCTGTGCAGCGGTGCGCTCCTCCTCACAACCGCTGTTGTGTCAATGACAGCCAGCAGCTGCGGAGGAGGATGTTTGGCCCGGCAGTGGAGGAGGAGGCGGGGCCCGGTGACGAAAGAAGAGGAGGAGCCAATGACATAAGAGGAGGAGGGGCCCAGCAATAGAAGAGAAGACAGGCCCCGGCCATGGAAGAGGAGGCTGGGGCCCGCCAGGCGGGAGGAGGTGAACAGCGGATCAGGGCTAACAGGTAAAGGGTGTGACCAGCCCACCTGAGACTCTGCAGATCCCACCATAGAGAGCCCATGGTGGGCTCTGCAGGGTCACTCTCAGGTGAGCTGTGTGGGATCTCAGGTGGGCTCTGCAAAGGGCATAACTAGAATCACAGGGCCCCATACAAAATTTTGCTATGGGGCCCTGTAATTTCTAGTTACGCCCCTGTGTTGCATATTCAATTAATTTATATTGTGGATGCAAAAGGTGCAGGGGGAACACCCCAAGGTGATAAGACCCAAAACACCAAGATGGACAGTAACAGAGCCAGTGATTATATGATTATAACTGGAAGACCTCACGACTATAATCCACAAAAGAGATAACAAGCAAGTGGACGTTCATCCCACCATACCTATATTATCACTTCTGGGTAGACGTCCTCCTTTAGTAATTGCCAACATAGATTCAAACATATTAACTACAATTAACATGTTGAGATGGTCTAACACATTTTTCATTGTTTCACTTCCGATAAGGCACGTCAAGTATCCAATGAGATTGTCAGATTCCCAACTGAGAATATAACTCTGGACAGTGGCCGAGCTCTCATCTTTATGCAGTGGGGGCAATGGACTGATCATGACCTCGACCTGTCCCCTGAAACCCCTGCAAGATCAACATTCCTAGAGGGAATTGACTGTGACCTCAGTTGTGCCCAGGAGCCCCCCTGCTTTCCTCTCAAGGTAAACATATGATAGACAAGGGTTCCAGAAATTTGAGGAAGTCTGGGCATTCCATCTGCAATAAAGGATAACTAAACCCAAGAACAAAAATGTATATATTGTAGCTTACCAGTCCTTAGATGAGACAGCTGCAATTATTTTTTCTCAGGATAAAAACATTCTTAACAAGTACAGAAAATACCTGTTAATCTTGCCAGAAATACATTGTCCTTGTCACTTCCTGTGAGCTGATCTGGAAGTATAAAAGTATAAAACTTATAATCCCATCAACCCCCATGTGACAGAGATGAATAAGGCAGACATGTTCAGCCTAGGTGTAACCAGGGCTCCTTTCATAGATACGAGGAAGAAGTAAACGTAGCCATTAACGGACCGGAAGTATGTTATTCACAGTATTACCAGAGATGAGCTCAGGTTCAGACTGAACTGAACCTGGGCTCATCCAAACACAAGTGCTACATGGGCCTCCCGCCAAATCAGCTGCGGGTTGGAGTATTTCCCTGTCCCACAGCTGACCTCAAACAAAGGGGCGGGATACTTATGTTGATGTAGTTTACTTTATATGGCAACCCACCCCTTTGCTTACATCAAGCGGTGGGCGGGGAGCTGACTTCCACATTCAGGAGGAGCTCCATCTGGGTTCCCTAATTACCAGGCAAAATCATTCCTAACCCTTGCAGTGGGGTTAACCCCACGCTGCAGGGGTTAAGTGCTAGTTTTCGTCTAAGGAGGAAAAAAGTTATATTCACCTGAAACTCGGAGCTGGCTGTTAGACCAGTCCCTGGAGCTTCTCTCCACCTTTGCTCCAGCGAAGAAATGCCCCTCAGCATCCTCACATCCTATACACTGTATAGAATATGATGACTCACAGGACCTGGAGTAGAGAGGGAGCGGGGCGGCAGTATAACTTTTTTTATTTTCATCCTTAGACAAAAACAAGAACTTAACCTTTGCAGTTTGGGGGTATCTCCACTGCAAGGGTTACAAATAAGATAAAAATACATATAGGTCATGTTCCTAGGGCATAGTATTTTTTTTTAATCCTAGAAAATTGTTTTCATCATAGTCTGCCCTGCTTTTTCTGTTCTCAGATTCCACCAAATGACCCTCGCTTCACAAATCGCAGTGATTGTATCCCACTCTTCCGCTCATCCCCTGTGTGTACACCTGGATCTCCAATTAGAGAGCAGATAAATATACTCACCTCATATCTTGATGGAAGCCAAGTATATGGAAGTGATTTGCCCTTGGCTGCTAAGCTTCGAAATAACACAAACCAGCTTGGACTTATGGCCATTAACCAAAATTTTACAGACAATGGCCTTCCATATCTGCCCTTTGAAACAGTCGAGGAAGACTTTTGTGTCTTGACAAACAGATCATCTGGAATTCCCTGCTTTCTGGGAGGTAAGTGATGTTGGGGAAAGGCGTTTCTTTATTTTGTTGAGGAACAATGACTGTTATAATTATTAAGAAATACTAATGAGTAACTTGACCTATATTTTAGTTTAATGTGATACATAAACACTTAAAAATTGGCAATTTAGAATATTAACTCTTTATTGGGTAAGGCTGTATATGTCCTTTGGATATGCCTTGGCCGGACTGGGAACAAAAATAGGCCCGGGCATTTTAGACTGAGCAGCCCAATCACCTGTCCCCCGACAGGCCCTGCCCCTGCCCTGCTGCGATATGTAATTTTCGCTCCAAATTGAAAGCTGTATGTGTAGCAGAGAATTCTGACATGGATGCTTGCAGAAGCGGGTGTAGAGCGGGTGTACGGGTAATAAAATGCGGGCTGACAAGAGCACAGGCGGCTCTCTAATTAGGTAAATTAGGCGGCCACCATAGACGCAGTATAGATACGCAGTATAGACTCTATGGGTGGCACATACAGTACAGGCTCTATAAAGGACAAGCAGGTATATGATAAATTGCAAAACAATACCGGCGCCTTCAAATCCAAAAAGAGCCCAGCAGTAAAAATACAGCAAACACGATAGAGGTAGCTCCCACAGATTAGATGGACCACCAGTCTATGAGAAAAGGAACAAAAGAGAGCGCCTCCATAGTGTAAAAATGTTATTTAATAGTAAAAACACGCAGCTCTAAGGCTGTACTTACAACAGTTCGGTAGAATAAAAACCAGTAGAATAAGGTGAGAGGACGGAACCCCTGGCAGGGAGAATCTGGAGCGATGTAAAACACCAGTAACCTCGATCCCTGTATTGATAAATGGTTTACGCGTTTCTGGGGCACGCCCCTTCATCAGAACCAATGACTGAACACCCCCTGTATCCTGCCTTAAATCTTTGACGGAGAGGGTCACATGGGATTTTTAGTCCAATCATCCAGTCGGTGTTGGAGGCTCATCTAGAGAAGGCTGCCTTCTCTAAATGAGCCTCCAACACCGAGTCCATGAGCCTCCAACATCGGTGAGCACCTTCCACACAGCAGGACATCGTGCTGCCAGGCAGTGCCATGCCTGAGCAGCGTCAGAGGGAGGGAGCAGCAATTTTCTGGGCAATTGCCCCCCCGGATCCAACACTGTGTTTGCTGCCCAGCCAGCTGGCGCCCCTCCATTTCTGCGCCCATGGCAGCCGCACCATCGCCCCCCCCAGTTGTTACGTCACTGCTGAGAGCCAGGGCTGGTGCAAGGGTTTTTTCCCATACAGACACGAAGGTGCATTGTTTCGCACCTCCCAGTGCCTTCATGCAGCTGCCTTTGCAGCCTTATGCTAGTGCCGGCCCTGAGTGCAATAGACAGGTATACAGGAAGTGAATTACAAGTATACAGTGTATTACTTAGGTATGCAGTGTAATAGACAGGTATGCAGTGTTTTACACAGGTATGCAGTGTAAAAGACAATGTAAAAGACAGGTATGCAGTGTAAAAGACAGTGCAAAAGACAGGTATACAGTGTAAACCTTAAGAAGGTACATAGTATAATAGACGGGTATGCTTCGCAATTTTCAGGTATACATAGAGTAATAGACAGGTACGCTTTGTAATATACAGGTATAGCGTCTTGTTACAAAAATCAACCTCAGTTGCCAGCAGATCAACTGATCAACTCAGTTGCCAGCAGATGGTAACATGCGGAAAAAAACATGTATCAATCTCAGCTGACAGGAGTGCCAGTCGCATAATATACTCAGCCCTAGGCTAACGCGTTTCTGGGGCTACACCCCCTTCAATCAGCATCCAGTTCCATAGAAGGTGTGGAGTACCTGCCCAATTGACACAGGACATTCAAGTAACACGAGAAGCCTGTTGTAAGCAGCCACAACAATTTGTTGGGGACAGGATTTAATTCCTGTCTGTCCCCCTAAATGGGAGTTAGGCTTTAACTTTCTTCTTGTTCTTGTTCTTGTTCTTGTTCTTGTTCTTATTATTATTATCATACAGGATTTATATAGTGCCAACAGTTTCTGCAGCGCTTTTCAAAATAGCTGGTAAGTTCTGCTTCCATTACCTTTAGGAGACCCTCGTGTCAGTGAACAACCAGGTCTTACAGCTTTCCATACAATGTTCGTTCGAGAACACAACCGTATAGCAACAGAGCTGCGCAGAATAAACCCTAACTGGTCTGGAGAGACTCTGTATCAAGAATCCAGGAAGATTGTAGGAGGAATCCTGCAGGTACCATATAAGTTGTTTTTTTTTCTTACTCTTGATTCATTTTATACCCGGGGGGTAACTATAATGTTCTGTTTGACAGAAAATAACCTATGAAGACTGGCTGCCTTTACTGCTGGGATCAGAATTGCCTCAGGTTCTCCCAAGATACAGAGGGTACAATGAGTCTGTGGACCCAAGAGTGGCCAATGCATTCACTGTTATGTTCCGTATGGGCCATACTCTGATACAGCCAATAATTTACCGCCTTGCTGATGGTTATCGCCCCCTTATGCCAGAACCACAGGTCCCACTTCATATGACTTTCTTCAACAGCTGGAGAGTGGTCAGACAAGGTAATCTGATGAATATATTTAATCAAATGTATAAGTCATGAAAAATGTCTATAAAGGTTCTCATTCATCCAGGTCATGGTACAGTATATCTGTAAAGAGTACATCAAGGCAACTGGGCTTGCTGTATTTTTCTTGAAGACATTTCCCCTGGTCATCCGACTAGCTTTTTCAATTCAGAATGATTTGTACAAATATTCTCTTGGAATAAATATGGTGAATGTTGCTCCAATCAACATAATTTGTTAAACATGACCAGCATGAGGTCAGAGACCTCATGGAGATCCTAATGGGGTCAGAGACCTCCACGAGGTCTCTGACCCCATGTTGGTTATGTTTAACAAATTATGTTGATTGGTGCAACATTCACCATATTTATTTCCAGATAATTTTTGTACATATCATTCTGAATTGAAAAGGCTGGTCAGATGACCAGCGAAACATGTTCAAGAAAAATACAGCAAGTCCAGTTGACTTGATTTATTATTTACAGATAAGTCTTGAAGAAGTTATAATGCATATGTCATTGGTACACTACTAATGCTTAGCCTAGTATATGCAAATACAAATATTATGTGTCAATTTGTACAGCACCTATTTAATTAATCTGTTTTTTTTTTGCAATCTCTGTACAGGAGGGATTGATCCTCTTCTCCGTGGACTCATGGCAAATCGAGCCAAACTTAACCGTCAGAACCAGCTGGTGGTAGATGAACTAAGGGAGCGTCTGTTCAAGCTTTTGAAGCGGACTGGTCTCGATTTACCAGCCATTAACATGCAAAGAGGCAGAGAACATGGACTGCCAGGTACTTGCCATGGAAGTGCTTCTTTATTGTAGATTTTCAGAACACAGTAACTAGCTCTGTATATAACTGAGTCTTCAAATGTATTGTTTACATAACTTGCATTTCTGCCTCAGGGTACAATGCATACCGGAGGTTTTGTGGATTATCTGCTCCACGCAATTTGGAGGAGCTGTCCAATGTGCTGAATAACAGAGAACTAGCTCAAAAGTTCATAAATCTTTATGGCACTCCTGAAAATATTGACATCTGGGTTGGAGGGGTTGCTGAACAACTGGTCCGCAATGGCAGAATTGGAATGTTAATGTCTTGCCTGATTGGAAACCAGTTCCGCAGGGCACGAGATGGAGATCGGTGAGTACTGGTGCAACTCTACTCTGTTGCCTTATATAAAGCAATTAAACAGAAAACTCTAGGGAAATGTGTAAAGTGAAAGATTTTGAGTGAAGGGTGAATTCAGTGGCCCAATCCTCCAACTATGCCCATGCTTTGACCTATGTCTCAAGATTCCTCATAGTCCTTTCCTGGCAATTCTTTAATCACACACATGTAGGCAAAATGACTGGACTGTACATTGCACCTAGCTGAACATTTACAATAGTTTACTGTAGGTATAATATAATTAAAACCAAACCATAGCAGTTTCGCTTTACCTCCCTCATTCCCGAACTTTCTTTGTAAGTTTTTTGTTATATTTTCTACAGAACAACAGAGGAATCCAAATGGTTTGCTATGAGCAACAGCTCCAACTTCACTTTACTTTTCGCTCTAATTTTTATTGATCAGTCCCATTGTTTCCAATTATTTTAGATGTAGCTGTGATCAGAATGAAGATATTTGAACAGATTTTATTGATCCAGATAAGTATCTGGCTGCAACAATAATAAACATAATAAAGGTAAATATTTAAAGATCTTCTTTATTATTTTTCTTAGATTTTTTTATGAGAACCGTGGGGTGTTCACGGAAGCTCAGAAAAATGCTATCAAAAGAGTCACTCTTGCCCGTGTCATCTGTGAAAACACCAGGATTACAGAGGTGCCTCGAAATGTCTTTTTGGGTAACCAGTATCCCAGAGATTTTGTGAGATGTTCTAACATTCCAGCTCTGGATCTAAGACAATGGAGGAGACCTTAAGGAAATGGTAAGTCTGAGTGATGCTGGAGCATAAGAAGTCAAATTTACTCTCAATAAAAGCCTTTTTAATTACTTAACACTCCAATTGCACTTTTCTTGAAATATTTACTGTACAGTGGGCTAAAATGGGCTGGAGCTGTATATTAGGCAACTGTGATTTATACTTATAGAAATGTAAATTGTATGTCCAGCCAAATCTTTTTATTCCCTTTAGTTGTGGATAGCATGGGGAATGGTCAGAACCTGTGAGTTTTTACTGGTATCTGACAGATTTTTTTTCTCACTTTCTGTTCCTGGGACAACAGTTTTACAAGACAGGACGTGAGGAAAAATCTTTCTACCGGTCAGCACTAAAAAGCAGATGAATGTGTCCTAGCCTTCCCCTACACTACTCTGTCTGTAATGCTGTTGACAGGTATAACGTTCAGGTACTGTACCTAGCATTGCCTGCACTTATTTGTAACAGCTTTTAGTCTCCTCACGCTGCCAGAATGTAAAGCCATTCTCAATGGGAAATTATTTGGTGCTTCCTGGTATTGATGGGGCATGCCCTCCCCATCTCTCCTCACATACATTCCTATTGGCTATTGAGGATGCCCATCATTGCAATCGGACAGTTTGAATGTATGGGAGTCGGAGGGATCAGGCAAGCTTCATCATTACTAGGAAGTGTTGGAGCTTTGCCGGATCAGAGTGATCCTGGATATCAGGTACGATCCATTCCACTCTCCTTTATCTCTAATAAAGTAATCTGAGAACCGTGTTTGTGATATAGGAGAACTATTATCAAATACACCTATTGTAGACTTTTTGCTCTCTCCCAGATACAGAAAGTCAGTATATAAAAAAAAGTAATTGAGCTCTTCTTACCTCAACCTCTAATGCCTGAATGTTCTACATGAACTCTAGTCACCCAACTCATTATATATGTATTACATTTATATGTGTATATATATATATATATATTATAGGTGTATATATATATTCCTGACATATCAGTTTACTTACTCATTATTCTCTACAATACATTGATAATATGAAAATAGAGGATTTATCTTAAATGTATCTATTATATGCGAAAAATCTGTAAGGCTAAAACGTTATTAATAATAATAATAAGATGAAGAATAATAATAAGAAGAAGAAGAATAGTTTGCATGCTGATCAATTTCAATATGAAATATATGGTTTAATATTAAAATCCCACTACATTAGTTTTGGAAAATCTAAAGGACATTTTACAGAGCTAGAACAAATTATAAAGTGTATGGTTACACAAATATACTGTAACGAAAAGGCACAGTTTTAGAACAACAAACTTTTTTTATCTGTCACCTTTTTTGTTCAGGGTATGCTGGTTTTTGCTTTATTTTTATAAAAAATGTCAACTGACATGTCAGATATACCTGGTTGATTTGATCCGAGATCTTTATATTGTGGTCTGACTCTTTTCATGTCTGATGGGCATTCTGTCATGATTAAATGGTTCTGCTGTCAGGTATATGGTTGTCTATGGGAAATGGCTGATGCCTACCAGGCCGGCAACTGTCAGAGAAAAGGATCACACAATTTCACTCATGATATATTATTTCTTCTATTTCAGATTATCTGCATCTATCCTAAGACCAAAACCTGACCAGGAAGTCTTTATGAGTTACCTTGTATGCACACAACTACAGAAGCATTGTAAAAAAAAATCTACCATTATATTAGTTAGTCTTTCACTCTTTTGAGTGATGGATAGAGAAGAAAATAATCAGGTCAATGCCTTTTTTCTACTGTTATTCTACAAGGAAACATTGACCCACCCACCCCGATGCAAAAGGCATATGGGATAGTATTAGTATAATATGGCCCTGCACCCTTGTGGGCCTCAACCTATGGGTACACCAGATGTATCCTGGGGCTAGTATCATATAATGAAATGGGGGGAATGCTTTTTTTTCTAGTCTATCACAGCAAAAAAGGGTGAAGGGTGAATTCAGTGGCCCAATCCTCCAACTATGCCCATGCTTTGACCTAAGAAAAACTGCATATTCATTGATTTCAAATTGGGTATTATTTGCAAGTAAATGCAAAGAAATGAAAATGCAAATTAGCCTGATCCACTGAAACCTTAGCGTAGATGGAGGAATCTGTTGCACGTTTTTCATCTGACCATAGAAGATCTGCAGATAATCTATAGGTGTATGGCCAGCTTTGGGGTGACTAGTCTTACGGTGGCTACACTCAATCGAAGAGCAATGAAGCCACCTTTGGACAGCAGTATTGTCAACCTGTGCAGAGGGTAGTGTTAGATGTACTAACAGATTTAGATGGACTTGACTAACAAATGAAAGCAGAACTCCAGCTAAAACATACATTAATAAATGAATAAAAGCTGACCATTGTAAGCAGCCTTGTCAGTGTTAAATGGTTTATCTCAACCCTCTATCTACCACATTTGCTGGACAGCTTAGCCTATTAAAGGAAGTTGAAAAATAACAAACTTACTGTCTGGATCACCAGGTGAAAATAAAGGGAACAAAGCCTAAAAAAGGAAAACGAATGCAGTCACCACATTTCGGGTTTGGATATGGGTTTGGTAAAGCTGGAGCCACTCTACAAGTTTTTATATGTTGTCATGGCTTGTCTTTAAAAAAAGGGGAATATGTTTCTTTTATGGTCACGGGAATAAAACATAACGTTGTGCTTTACATGATATATTGGCTTGCTTATACTAGCATCAATGCAAACTTGTCATTAGTGTGATGTGTTCTAGGTATAAAAAAGTTTTTGTTTTTTTTAAGAAATGAAGTAGCTTCAGAGAGTAGATTGTGGTTTAAACTCTTTAAAATAACTGCACTGATTTAATACATCATTACTTGCTATTTGTTATATACTGCATGCTATCATTGTATGTATTGTGTATACCAGCTCACCAGCAATGCATAATTATGCAATATTTTACAGGAAGCTTCAGTAATCTAGCCAAAGCCTTTTTTTTGGTTTAGGACAGAGTAAAAAAGGATTAGAACCCCTCGTTTTTTTCCCCCCAATAGATCCCAATAGGGAGATTCACCTTTTTTATTTGTCCTGGTGACCATTGAATGTTGTGAGAAATCCAAAATGAGTTGTCAACAGAACAAGAGGTAACGGAGAATCTGCCTGTTTCAATGAAAGCTGTCTAACTGTAGAGATTTCCTCCCACTTCTTCTTGCGTCTGCAGGATAGGAAGTGAAGGGAAATTGCCCCAATGGGATCAAAATTTAAAAATTACGTGAGAAGGGTTTTACTCTTTCTCTGTTCTATTTAGATCCAAAATAATGTTTTGCCGATACATTTGTATAACATGTTCTTTTGGTTTTACTTTTACAAATAAACAGCAATAAAAATGTCTAAAAATAAAGAAGATCTGATGTGTATTTTTTAGATGCAATTTAAATACAAACAGGAAAGTAAGTGTAGCTAGAAGACCTAACTACCTAAGTTACTGAAGGCCTGTACTCATGGATTCATACACTCGCTCTGGGACCATCAGATAAGACATTTCATCTTTAAACATTTACCTTTCTGACTATTTTTTTTTGTTACACCCATATTCAGGGTGCCACATGAAACCTAGTCATATTGAACATCTCTCTGTCACTCTGCTTTTTTCCCCTATCAGCACGCCCCATGTAAGCACAGGAACACATGCTAGTGCTACGTCTTCCTCTGACACTCCAACCCTGCTGTACAGGGACTGGAAGAGGCTGATACCAGGTCACATTCAGGTTCTTACAGTGCTTGTATTTCAAATAAACATTTAATGATGTTTTAATGAATACAGAACTGCATTAATTTGTGTCTATCATATCTGTCTGGAGTTCAGCTTTACCCTGGTAATATTGCCAGCATTAAATGTAATTATTCAGAAAAGCAGCAGGAAGTAGCAAGTATTTTTTTATGCTATGTATTGTTTCATAAGTTTCATATTGTTGTATAACTGGCCTTGAACTTTCAATAACTATATTGATTTGTCTATGCAAATTTGACAGTATTGTGGAAGAGGAGGAAATTGGCAATAAGTTGTTAGATATATTCCTGCTTCTGAGGCTCACCGCACTTAATACAATGCTGCATTAGAGGCTAAGTGCAATAAATGGCTAGGATGATCAGCCTTCACATAGTCCAACACATTAATCAACTCTCCTCTCAACTCCCAAGCTTTCTAAAATATCAGCCCATGTCTGGGTAATGAGGATTTACCATCAGCACATCATATTTAGGGAAAAGGAATATTATGCTATCGGTAGTGTTGTAAAAGTAAACACCACCAGGTAATTGGTCTATAGGAGGTGAGAAGAGAGTTCAGGTCTCCGGCACATAGGGCCAGCTGTGCAAACCGCAAGCCAGGAGTGAACTGGTAACTGGTATTTTTTCTTTCATCGAGGTGGCAAGATTGACGAGGATCTACATCACTGGACGACATGATTGATGATGGATTTACATCATGGGACATGTTTTTTTTTTTTTTAAATAAGGCACTTGTCAAAGTGTGTGTAGTGTATTCATTTATTTACTATCTTTGTTTATTAGATTATTGCATGCACTAATTTCTCAGATCGCACTGCACCGGAACGCAGGACATTGCTTTATCATGCATTCTGGTGCGGGCAATCATACTGCGGGCGGGGCCTGTCCCATCTCCTCTGCACACACCTCCTCTTCACCCAGTCACAGCACCCTCTTCCCAATAACCTCGCCCCCTAGTCACAACACCCTCTTCCCTTCTAGTCCCCCCCGTCACAGAGCCCCACCCTCCCACTTTGTCCCACCAGTCGTAGTAACTGCCCCACCTCACCACCACAATCACACTACCGACTTCCGAATTTGAATGCATCTATATTCAAACAAATGCAAAAAAAATTCTGAATTTCTGAATATTCAAATCTAATGACCAGTATGGACTAAGTTGACCAGTACGAAATAAGATGACCAATATGAGTATTTTTACAGACTAAAAAAAACTAAGAGGACCAGTATGGAATAAGGTGGCCAGTACGGACTATATTAACCAGTACGGACTAAGAGGACAAGTACAAACTAAGAGGACGAGTACAGACTAAAATGACCAGTGTGGACTAAGATCACCATCACGGCCTAAATTGACCAATACGGACTTAGGGGACTAGTATGGACTAATATGACCAGTATGGCTTAAAATCACCAGTACAGACTAAAAAAAAAACAGTACGGACTAAGATGACTAGTACAGACTAAAATGACCAGTGTGGACAAAGATGGCCAGTACAAACTAAAATGACCAGTACGGACCGAGATCACCAGTATGGACTAAGATGACCAGTATGGAATAAGATGACCAGTGTGGACTAAAACAACCAGTATGGAGTAAAATGACTAGTACAGACTAGTATGGACTAAATTGACGAATATGGACTAAATTGACCAGTACAGGCTAAGAGGACTACTACAGAATAAGATGAACAGTATGGAATAAGATGACCAGTACAGACTAAAATGACCAGTACAGACTAAGAAGACCAGTACTGACTAAGATGACCAGTAAGGACTAAGAGAATCAGTATGAACTAAGATGAACAGTATGGTCTAAAAGAACCAGTACATACTAAGATGACCAGTACGGACTAAGATGACCAGTATGGAAAAATATGACCGGTATAGACTTTAATGACCAGTATGGACTAAAATGACCAGGATGGCCTAAATTGACCAGAATGGATTAGAAGGACCAGTACGGACTAAGAGGATAAGTACAGACTAAGATGACCAGTACGGACTAAAATAACCAGTACAGATTAAAATTACCAGCACAAAGCACAAACAAAGTACAGACTAAGATAACCGGTATGGACTAAGATGACCAGTAACGAATAAGATGACCAGTATGCCCTAAAATGACCAGTACGGACTAAAATGACCAGTACGGAATAAGATGACTAGTACGGTCTAAGATGAGCAGTATGGAATAAGATAACCTGTATGAACTAAAATTACCAGTACGGACTAAGATGACCAGTACAGCCTAAGAAGACTAGTACCGACCAAGATGACTAGTATGGACTATAAGGACCAGTACAGACTAAGATGACCAGTTCGAAATAAGATGATTAGTACAGACTATAATGAACAGTATGGACTAAGAGGACCAGTACAGACTAGTATGGAATAAGATGACCAGAATGGACAAAAATGACCAGTACAGACTAAGAGGACCGTATGGAATAAGATGACCGATACAGACTGAGTACCAGTATAGAATAAGATGACCAGTACAGATTTAAATGACCAGTACACACTTAAAGGACCAGTACAGACTAAGAGGATCAATACGGACTAAGATGACCACTACCGACCAAGCTGACCACTACAGACTAAAACGATCAGTACAAACTAAAATTACCAGTACAGATTAAGAGGATCAGTATGGACTAAGAGGATCAGTATGGACTAAGAGGACCACTATGGTCTAAGACAGGGGTTCAGCTGTGCTGAAACTACAAATCCCATAAGGCATTACAATCCACAGGCATAACTCCCAGAGGCAGAAACATGATGGGATTTGTAGTTTCAGCACAGCTGGAGAGCCAAGGTTGCCTACCCCTGGTCTAAGAGGACCAGTATGGACTAAGATGAGCAGTATGGTCTAAGAGGACTAGAACAGACTAAGATGACCAAAAAGAAAAGTTTTAATTATGATTATTACTTGCTGTTGTACCTATAGAGCTTTAGCACATTATAG